ACTTGTCTTGGAGGAATTTCAATATCTGCCCTGTGCTGCCATAACCGCCTCTTGTATTTATCTGTGGGTCTTGGTATGATAGAGGCTGAGGATATGCAGTTTTCTTCGATGTTTTAACTGAAGATAGGAGCTAGGAGGCAGGAAACAGATTCTTAAAAATCCCTAAAAATGCCGATCAGGGCAGGAGCAGGGTTTTGTTTTCTTTGTTTTTGTTTTGTTTTTCACGAGCAGCTGGCAAGCCCTCCTCAGTCCACAGATCATTCTCAAAAATGATTCATCCGCAGTGCATAGTTATGAAACACACCATTTTCACAGCCATGGAGAAGGCCCTGGCCTCATCACAGGACACTAATGCTGTGTTTCCTTAGCCCTGGCCTCAGAGCCTTCATAAAGGAGAAGCTCACAGGTGTCGGAGGAACTTGCTAGCACCTCTGTCAAGCTGCACAATCTTTAAGGACTGCTTCTAAGCTAAAGACTAACTTCAGCTAGCTCTGTTCCATTTTTGAAAACACTTGAAAAACAAAATAATACAGAAATACAGGGACTTTTGATGAAATGGACTAGGGAACTGCCCATGAAATTTGATCCACTAATAGGTTTCATTCATCAGCAGAGTGTTTAAGAAAAATGACTGTGAACATCTTTAAACAGGGTAAACTCTTGGAATTGTGCAAATCCCCCCCTCTCCCTGTTGTCTTGTACCTGCCCTTTTCAAGGCATTTGATTCTGAGACCCTTGCATTAGCCTCCTCCTGATTTCTGGGCCCTACAGACTCGGTCTGAATTGATCCAAGAGGGAACAGGCACTGATATTGTCCCAACGTTCCCCAGTGGTCCTCACGTGCAGGCCCCAGTGGCCAGCAACTGCTCTGGGCCTAAGATGGAAACAGAAAAGCTGTCCTGTGAACCAGTCACTAGAGTGACCCTAAATGGCGTCAGAGAGGATATGACTGGGCTTGGTGCTTACTCCAAAAGCTCAGCTCAACAAATGCATCCTGGATATCTACCAGGTACGAGGCATTATGACTCCTGGGATGTGAAGATGGCAAAGAGGGCACCTGGCCTTACAGACAGGACAGACTTCTGAAAGACTTGGCTGTGTTCCCAGAGGATTTCAACAGAACAGGGCAGGTGTAGGAATCCAGTGTCAATGTGCGAGACACGATAGGAACACGGGAGAGAAATCGAGCTTTGCCTAGGTTCAGGGAAGAGGAAAACTGACCTGGGGTTTTGAGCATGCAGACTGGGTCTCAAACCAAAAAAGGTGCAGAAGGGTGCTGTGAACAGTGGTCCTGGAGAGGAAACAAGTGTGGCCTTTGCAGAGGGCACATGAGAGCTCTGGGGAACAGAGCAGCATGTGCCAATGGGGAGACAGGCACGTGCCAGTCCCTAGAGGACTCTGCATGTCCAGCTACACTCCCTGAAGGTCTGGGGAGCCGTATGCACTTTCCCTGAGGCGGTCGGGCAGCGTGTAAGTGACTGGCTTGGGAGAGGCAAGACTGGAGGCGTGAAGACCAGTGACCGGGCGTGGGCAGCAGTAGGGGTGGGTGGCGCCATAGCTGGATTTCTATCTGTGGCATAAAGGGGAGGGAGAGGTCTGAAGACAGCATGACAGGAATTCAGAGGGAGCTACCTCCAAAATCAGCCCCCTACAAACACAGGTGCACTCTGCTGTGGAAATCACTCATTATTCTGGAAGGACCAAGGAAGCAAGGAGTTGTATTTTTACTAAGATCTAAAGTTATCTTCCTTTTTGAGAAACTTTAAAGGATTTTATGCTAATAAATAAACTTTATTTATCTCTCAGTATTACATTCTTTAATAATAAAAATAAAAAGAAGAAGTTATAGATTCTACCTTTTAAAGGTGCTTCTTTCTATGGAGTGATGCCTGATGACATTTCCTTATTTTGGTATTTTAAAGGGTACAAGTTGTCTCATGCTTCTGGGGAAGAAAAATCTTTTCAGTGTTGTCATATCACCCATGGTGGCAGTGAAGACGGTGCGCTATGCATTGCTTCCCGGTGTTATCTCTGCCTACGTCCAGGGCCATTTCTGATTTCCATAAAATGGGATCGATAATGGCAACTGTGGCCATTTTTTAACGTGAAATTACTTTGGGGATCGAACTGGGCTGGTTCTTAAGTTGCT